ACAAATTGACCACTAACCTTATTGTCTGCAGCAGCCCCAATACTACAGTTGAACCATGGTGAGTGAAGCAACCAAATTTTCACTTCATGTTCCATCTCCACTGGCTAGGGTGGCCTTGGGGCTCTGCAGATATGTTGGCACGTTCCTAGGCTATCTATCAATCCATCCACTCCAAAATAACATAAAAAGGCTTTTAGTGTAACAGAAGGAGTGAGACTGCTGTTACCCAAGCTAAGGAGGTGACAGAGGTGAGGAAATCAGGAAGCCAGTCTCCCAAGGCATCCTGGTGAACAGGAAGCAGAGAAGGTTTTCTTCTAGTGTCTGAAATGATGACCCTCTTCTCTGGAGAAATTTTGAGAAATATCCTTAGGGTTGGGCTGTGCTTGAGACAACATTTCCACTGTTTAAGGAGGACAGGAAAAAACAGAGTGGAAGTCTGGAAGTCACATCTTAAGTCAGTGTTAGAGGTAGGGTCCACATGCAAGTTTTCTCCAATACCAAACCACTTCCCTACCCACAAAGGTTTTTTGTGTGTAAAAGTTTTCCCACTTTCCAAGAATGCTGTGCTGAGAATCCAGGGCATTTTCCTTTAAATCTGTGTTCCCATGTGATTTATAGCCCAAAGACAAGCATTCCATTTGCTCCCCAAACTTTTCAGTGGTGCTTGGATCAAAAATTTTCAGGCTACATTAAAGTCTAAGGTATTGATTTATTTTCATGAATTCATTTTCCTTTTCCTTGTCACAGCTTTCACAGATTTATGAGGTTAAAGAGCATGAAGCTAATTAAATAATCTGACTGGTTGAACATCTGTTGAAACACAGTAATAACTTCTGAAGCCAACATTCCTGATGAGCTGTTAATTATTTAAAAACTAGAGGAAGGGTTTTACCATCTAAGAAAATCAAGAAACCAAAACTCTTCTGGGCTCAGTGTGAACCCTCAGCATTGCTTTAAAGTCTTTTACACCCACTTATACTCTTTGACACCCTTGAGTCCAGGTGTTCTTTTTGGGCTCTCCTACAGCCAGAGTTCCTAATGTAAGCCAGATGGTCTGTGGGGAAGGTCCAGCCCTGACTGCAGACTGTTGGTGTGCAGCAGCTACAAATGGAAATTAGGATTCAGATATGATGGAGTTAACTGCATGCAGACACCCACCTCAGCCCAAAACAGAAACTAATGCATGACCTTAAGTTAGTGGTTTAAGTCCAAGCAGCCACTTAAGTAAGGAACTTAAACCTTTTCTTCAGTTCCCTCTTGCTCTCCATCCCCACAGAGCATCCCTGGACTGACTTAGGAGTTCCCAAGCCCAGAACCTTCCACCAGACCGACGTGCAGGAATTTGGTTCTCAGCCTGGCATAGTCTGCCCCAGTTTGCTTAGACTTTGCATTGTCTTCACATCGTGTTCTCCAAATAGCTTTGTCAAAAATTCATCAGTGGAGCAAATAAATAAATAAGTTCAATTCCCTGCTACTACTCAGGATCACTTTATGTTTCAAGGCTGATGAAAGTGTTTTGAATTGACAAGTAATTTGCAGCTGTTCTTAAATCCCCTCCTCTGCTGGTAAATTATAGGGGCTGTGGCATGCTTGTGAGTGTTTGTGCAGAGTGAGGGTGTGCCCCAAGGCCTGCAAGAGTTAATGACAGATCCAGGGAGAAAGTGCCCACTGAGGCCAACAGCATCTTCTCCAGGCTCCCCTGCACCAAAGCCACAGGAAAAAAGCCATGTGCTTGCCCTTTCTGTGACTTTTCCTTTTAGAAATGAACAAATTGTTCACACAGTAAATATTATCCATATTGTAAATTATTCATAGTCCCAAAGTGCAGTGGGTGAAAGTGGGGTTGAAGCTTGTGCTGAGATTTTTCTGCATAACCTACAAAAGAAAGGGAAGTTTTAAACACACACACACAAAAAAAAAAAAAAAAAAAAAAAAAAAAAAAAAGAAGAAGAAGAAAAAAGAAAAAGAAGAGGAAAGTCCCTCAGCATCTCATAGTTCAGCTCAGATCTCTAACAGCCTATAGACTGGAACTGACAGGAACATTTCAAGGTTAAAAAAAAATTAAAACCATAGTCTCACAGGTTTTGCTAACAGTATCTTAGGGTATTCCAAATGTAGCTGATATTATTAGGCTACAAGGTTCAGAGCCACAAATGGATTTAGACTTTCAAACTTGCCTGCAATCAGCCTCACACCCTTCAGCACATGCATGCTGTGGAGGGCTCCTGAGGGAAGAGAAGCCTTTCTGTGTGGCATGTTTTTGGTCTCAGTCTTTCTCCATCCTTGTGGACTCTCATGAGACCCAGAACCACTCTGGAATGAGGGGTGTGTACATGCTGGGGCACTGTAAGTGCACCCAAATGTTTCCAGATATGGCAGCAGCAGATGCTCCCCAGGCTGACTTTGACTTATCTTGGTTGTCAGATTATCTCACATTTATTTTCACCACCCTTTGTACTCATTAAAATTTCTCTACTGTCCCTGGTTTGTCTGAGGGTCTCTTCAGGGAATGCTCGTTTCAAAAAGACAAGTAAAGGCAGCTACACCCCTTTTCCTAGCCCAGACAATTGCTGTGGTCAGTTCTAGATGGTCCATTCACACAGCTCCTGTAAGGCTTGTCCTTGTCTCCCCTCCCAGCCAAGGATTTTAACTTGTTGCTTCACCCAGCATACAGACAAATTAATATCCATGAAGGAGGACTTTGTCCCATGAACTGAGAAATATTGCAGTGTTTTGTCATTCATCTTCCTTCTCTTTCCCCACTGACCTCTTTGGGTCCATTTTCCTTACAACCCACATCAGCAGCCACTCCTTTTTCACAGCAACCACCCAACCCATTGAATAAAATCACATGCAACCCTAAGCTGAGCTTTGAAATTGGCCAAAAAATTCTTCCTGAGCCCTCACTCACCCAACACTGCTTTGTCAGGATCCTCAGTGCTCAACACTGGGACTTCAATGGGGAATCACTTGCTTAAAGTTTGAATTCCAATGCTGAGCATCAGGATGTGGAAGCAGAGATGACTCCATCTTATATGGCCTGAATGTTCTACATCTCCTATTGATTCAGTGGATCCAGGCTGACACTTTAGAAACTTCCTGTGCTGAAGTCATTAAATGATTAACCAACCTTGTACTTCTCACTGTGCCTTCTGGTCAGCACAGGATCTCAGCCAGCCTGGTTCACCTCTCTTCTTCCTCACTCTGCTTCACATCTGGCTTCCAGTTCTTCTCTCCTTTTTGACTTTCAGGTTCAGGTAGCCAACACAAGATTTTAAAAACATACATCATCATAATATTTCTGTTTAATTAAACAAACATGCTACTCCTTCCTTCCAACTACATCCCTGTATGTGATTTTTTTATTAGTAGTAGCATTACAATCTCCCCTAAATTTTGGTCTGAAAACTGCTTGACATTCACAATAAGGCATTAAAAAGGATTTATTCCATCCTTGAAGTTTGCATGTAACTCCTCTTAATGTGAGAGCTCAAACTGGTGTAAATCAAGACTAAATTCACTGATACCAGGGGGCCTGAACAGGTAGAATCACCATAAAGCAATTGTAAAACAAATCTTTTTATATTTATCAATGGTAAAATCCCAACAACAACAGCACAATTGCCTTCTCCCTGCACAACTACATTTAAAGTACAGTCAGTTGACCTACTAGTAATAATTTTTTTGAAATTCAGGAACAAATTATTATTATAATTTTTTTTTGTTTTGTTTTGCAAGGACAAATCTTTCTTTTCTGCTCTCTCACAGAAATTTATGAAACAGTTCCTAGTGAGCAATTGTTCTTTCCTCCATGACCCAAAATAAACTCATCTCCATGGTCTCATATAGAAACATCAGCAAATTTGTTTAATAAATGTTTCAGGGTCAAGGGAAAAATGTAGAGGTAAATGTATTTAAAGGTTTTGAAAGCTTCATGGCAGCAGTCCAATACTGCTTTCCTTGCCTTTATTTGCTGGCTTTGGCAAAAAAAAAAAAAAAAAGAAGAAAAAAATAGGCCATAAAGCTTAGAAAAGTGATCAGTCTCTGGGTCTGGGGCTCCTGTCACCTGCCATTTCCCTGATGTAGCACCGTGATATACAACAGCAGAGCAGCACTCAAGTGATCTATTACAATAATATGTCAGTAATGCAATGGGGCTTTGATAGTCCGTAATAATCAGAGTACTTCAGTGGGGAGAGGGCAAGGGAAGACCCAGCAGAAGGCAAAGTCAGCCAAGCAGAGCCTCAGCCTGTTGAAGTGTGTGAAAGTGAAACAAGACAGGGAGGAGCTGACTCCAGGAGCAGTTATGAGGCATTTTCCTGAGGAGCACCAATTCCCTGAAAGAGGGGTATTTGGCACAACCATGACAATTTCATAATGTAGTAAACAATGCTTACACTGCCCTTCATAAAGGGAATAAGAGGTCCATCCATCACAGAAAAACCAGCTGGATTTAGGCAAAGATTGAGCTACTGCTCATGTTTCTAGGCTATGAAGTTTAAGTGCCTGCACTTGACTCCACAGCTGCACTTAGCTGAGTTTCTGAACAGTTGAGCACTGGGTCTCAGTGGCAGCTTGTTAAGCCATGGCAATTTCATCCCTTGTGCTTGTCTGTCCGTAACTTGTAGTTCAGGATCCCAAGAACACAAGTGTTACACTGTCATTGCTGTAAAGAGGGGCAAACACAAATATTTCAAAGGCTGAGAGTTCTTCTGTGATGCTGAAAGCATCTCCTACATCACACTCAGGGATGGCCAACCCAGTCCTTCACTGCCTGACTTTCTCAGCTTTCTGACATAAAGGAAAACCAGAAACAACTGCAGTTTATGGACCTCAGACCTAAAGGAATGGAGAGTGGGGTGTGCATGCATGTGCATGGGTGGAGATGGCTGCTACATATCCAGAGACATATTTCCATGCTCTTTTCTGTTTTTCAACAGTCTCTTTTGCCAAGGAGTGAAGAAAAATTTTCTTTCTTTTCTTTTCTTTTTCCCACATAGGCACTTTACAGTCTCTTACAAGCTAAAATCAGACAGGTGAGAGCATGGGATTTATGGGGTTGTGCTTGTACAAGCAGAGTGTTCTCCCCTCCTATTCACCTCCAAGGCTCCAAAGAGAATCAGCCTGCAGAATGGAAAGGTAAGAAGATAATTATTTTTGCAGAGGAGCACTAAGAAGGAAGGAGAGCTAGCTGTTTTCTGTTTTATCTTAAAAGTCTTGCCTTAGAACATTTCTCTGTTGACACTCCATGTGCATGCATGACCCTGAACAACAGAGTTGGAGGCATAGATATTGCAAGGGAAATTCAGAAGAGAAAGAAGACTTAGCCAAGAGGAAATCTAAAAAGAACAAGGATTGAAAAAGCAGCCAGGGGTAACTCTGATGTACAAAAATACATTTATTTTCAACAATTTCAAAACCACTGCCTTTTTTTACAGTAGAAATATTCAAATGGAACAATAAAACCAAGAACAGTATATATATATGTATATATATGACTCATGCAGTTGTATTACTGTGTTCAATACAGGTATTGCAATTGTCTGTCTCATTTAATCCTTTGAAACCACAGTGGTGGTTTGGGTTTAATGCACTGTCCAACATCATCAGAAAGAATGTGAGGATTCTGGTTTGGTTCATTAGAGCTGGAATAGGTGTGGGAGCTGATTGAAGGGAAAGGGAGGAGAACAGGACACCAGGACATCTTTGTACATCTGTGAAACCAAAGTTTAGTCCAGAAGAAATTGCACACTTCCTACACATGCTCTCATTGATGGCAACTGTGTCTGAAACACTCTGTACCCCCCTGTCACTCTGGTCTCACCTCTGATCCTGCCAGGTTTAGGGTTAGGGCTCTTGAGTACTGGTTAAACTAAACAAAGGTTCATGGTTTATATCAGACTGTCAGCCACACAGAACCAGAAGCTGCATCTAGTCTCCAGACCTCATGCATTATTCCTAAATTACAGCTAATCCATCATGGGGGAAAGGCTGGCAGTGATAGAGGGCACTGACCCAGTCCCTTGCTCTCTGCCTCTCTCTCTTTCATTTCCTCTTTTTACATAATTACATTGTAGGAGCTATTTATGTTCCATTGATGTCATTGCCTATTTCCCTCATTACTCAGGTAAATAATAATCTACAGCTTCAAGGATTTCCACTACATTTCCCTCAGGGGTAAAACCTGCAGGGAAAAAAAAGCCCTGATGAAAACCCCAAGTTGTTATTTCCCAGCAAGCCAAATAAAAGTGGCCAATACTCCAGCCTGTGCTGACACTGCAGCTCAGTACTTCCAAAATGGTGAAGAGGGCTGGCTGCCCAGTCCAAGCCTTACACAGGTCCCATGGACAGGCAGGAATGCAGCAATGACCCTTCTTGGATTCTAAAGGAGCAGATTTCAGTGGTGAACCCAAGCTTTCTCCAGCTGCCATCGGCCGTGACTGTGCCCTAAAGGGGCAGGAGTGACCTGGCAAATGTGGTGCCATGCACACCCTGGGGATGCACCTGGAGCCCACAGCCTGGTGCTGACAGGTGTGACAAACTGCACTGGGAGGCTGTGACACCCACCAAGTCCTGTGGAGAAGGAAGTTTGAGCAAACATAAGAATCAGTCAGGCTTTTCTGACATACAGTTTTGGCTTCATGGATTTTTTGTGTTTGCTTTGTAGGATACTTTAGGATCATTTTGGATGGAAAATGTCTTTCTAGACAGATGTTTCTCCAAAACTGCCATTCAGAAATTTCTCAGCCTTCACTGAGATTAAATTTTTTTTTTGAGAAGTGAATTTTTTTCCATTTTTTCAACACCTTACTCCCATTTTTTTCAACACCTTACTCCCATTTTTTTCCTTCTTACTTTCTTCCATTTGAGACATTTAACAGCAATTTTTTAAAAGTGTAAAGGAATAAAATGTAAAAAAAAAAAAAGTGAAAAGAAATTAAGAAAAAGAATTGTGAAAACTTTAGTCCTCTGCCTTGTTAAAACGGCATGAGATGAAGCCCATAAAAAACCTATATAATTCCAAACAACAATGAAAATCATCACTTTGCCTCGTGGTTTATAAGGAAAAAAGTTAATACAGAAAATATTGAGTATTTTACATTCAGCCCTCTGCAGCAGCTCACCACAGCAGTACCTCAAATTCTAATGATCAGCAAAGACTGAGATCAGCCCACACTTCAGCTCAAAGCCCATGGGACCATTGTTTATGTACATCCCTCCCACCTCCACCTAAATGGGAAGCTATGGCCTTGTGCTAACACTTATCACCAGACTGGGCCATTACTGTAAACTACTGAGGAGTTTCAGTAGAACAGAGACAGTAATGCAACAGTTTATGCACTTGTGATGGATGGAAACCAAGGTTAAATAGAATAACACAGCCATTGCTCTTCACCTTGCATTAGAAACCAGAGCAGGAAAATGAGGGGGAAGACAGAAGAGAAATATTTTTAAATCAATAGAAAAAAAAATCCACAAAACCGACTGAAATAAAACCTGAGAATATTTGGTTTTAGTACTTCTCAAGAAATAGTTTTTCCTTATTTTTAGGTTTACAATTTTAATCTTGAAACACTTCCTGAGTTTTGCAAAATTGTGTTTAACCACTTTTCTCTCCACCTGCAGAGCCACCAGGATTTCTAACTTTGAAAGACATTCCAGCCCACTAACAGAGTAAACACGTGGCTGAGGCTGGTTTGTAGCCCACTGGCCTGTTGCAATGCAGAAAGACAGCAAGTAACACCCAAATTCCAGCCATCTCCTCATTTCAGCCCAGGTATATTCAAGGTCCTGTACCCAGTTCCTAAGAAATGATAACAAACATTGTCATCTGCTGTCATTTCTGCCTCCTGTTAGCACACAAAGACTAGAACATCTTCGCAGATGTGCCCCCAATCTTCCTTTCCCTCCTGCTGGGTCCTACAAGTCAATACTCTCCAGAATAAGGTTTATTTTTGACATCACCAACTCAAGAAAAATGGATAAAAAGTAACGCACCACTAAGTTAACCTCTTGCCCCAAAACTCCACCTCTTCATAGGGATATCCTCAGTTCAATGTACTAAAAAATTTCTAAAGAGCTTTTTCAATACCTTTTCTTCATTAACCTCCCTGTTCTGACCAGAAAACACCAACCCACCATGCAGAAATCTCCACTCTGAGCTGGGAGCTGCCATTCTGCAGCACTCACAAGAACCTTTCACAGCTCATTAATGCAGGTCTGACCCTCCCCTGCCCTCTCCAAAGAGCAGTCCCTAATCGCATGCACCATGTTCAGCCAAAATTTACTACTCTTACACATCCTAAATGGCACTTCACTTCATCAGCTGAACTGCAAAAAGCATGACTTCTCCCTGGGAGTAAAGCTACTGCAACCTGCCCCACTGTTGAGCTGAGGTTGTGCTGGGTATGCCAAGGCCACTGATATTTACCTACACAGAGATGGTGATAATATTTTGGGATTCTTTTCCTCATTTTTACTAACAGATGCCACTAAGATGATTCTCAGAAGTGGGCAACAGTGACAAGTATGAACAGATGATAAACATCATTAAAATATTTATGACAGGTTCATAATCTGGCTGCTAATATCTTTTTCTGCTCCATCACAGGAAATGACACCATATATATATACATATATGTAAAAAAAGGCTTGCAGTTATACATAGAGAAATAAATTACTCTCTTTATAGAGAGCAGTGTCAGATTGAAATACGACAGACAACTGGAACACACTTGGAACCAAAGTGTGACTCAAGTGCTCACCAGGGTCCCTGTTTGGCTGTATGTGGTGTGTGTGTGCACGTGGGCGTGCCTGTGTGTGTGTGTGGTTCAGGTTTTCTTTTAAACATATCTTCTTTTACTAAACATTAAATTATTTCCCAAGAAATAAAAAGCTATGTACATTGTAATTATCTACAGTAGGCCTTCGGCATCCTCGCTATTCACATGCACAGGGGTCGGGCTGCATTCATAAACTCAGGCTCGCTCCTCCTCTGCTTGTGGTGCTGTCCCCTCCAGCCAGTCTGTGGTCCAAGGAGCACTGATGTGTGGGTTTGCTCTGATTTGGTCTTTTCTTTCTCAGCAGTCGACAGTGCCAGAGGGTGACTGAAATTAAAAGCAATTAAAAGAGGCAAGATCCTACAAAAAGCTGAGACATGCATGTCACTGGGAAGCGAGGGATGTTGGCATGTTGCAGAGCCTGGTCCAACAACCCAGTCTGAACCCTCTGGCAGGATGAAGCAGCTGATTCATGACTTATTCTGGAAAGGGCTGAAAAGGGACAATTTACTTACAACATGTTGCCTTAGGTACAACATCTATCTGTTGGATTTGAATACTTAATTCCCATTCTGTATGTAACAGGAAGCTGGCATTCAAATCTCATTGCACACTTGACTCATTCTTTGCTTTTTATTTCTAATCTGATGTGTATTCCCTAAATATGAAGAACCTCTGCTATTTATGAATGCAGCCCTGGTAAACACAAAAAGCCCACCCCATTCCCTCCCAAATTATAATAATGACATATAACTCTTTCTTTTTTCATAATAATAATAATAATTATAACAATAATAATTACAAATAAAAATTCAGAAATGCTGTAGACCAAGTGAATTCTCAGTATTAAACACTAGTGCAGTTGGGGATTTCCTTTGTGCTTTCACTGTTGGCAATTGTTGAGATGCTTCCTGTGGAGGAGAAAATGGAGAAGAGAATCAGTGCAGTGGCTTCAACAGTTTGGTCTATATTGCTTCTCACTCTTTAGCATGTCGTAGTGTAAGTGTAAAGACAGAAAAGATTCACATTCTTTAATGTATTTGCAATAAGCAGGGAGCATGCAGAAAACTCAATTACTACAGCTCAGCTGACCAGCAGTAAACTCATTAAGCTATTAGGGACATATTTGCTTGTAATCAGAGCACACCAACAGTGAGAGCCTGGCTCAGCTGGTTCTTCTGAGGGTGCAGAGAATTTGGCAGTCCTCCACAAGAGAGCCAGGGTCATGAGCAGGAATAGGTGTGAGCCACAGCCATTACTAACTTCTTTATACCTACTGCTGGAGCCTACCTACTACAGGTTCCTACCCTGGGAAAAGCTGAAAATCTATAAGAGAAACTCCATTATCCTGCTGTTGAGAGAGATTTACTCCCTATCCCTGTGCCTCAGGGCTCTACTTGTACCCAGGGTCACAGGCACTGCCTCTCCTAATACCCAAAACACCAAAATCTTCACCCAGACTGTGGAACAGAACGCAGCTGAGGGTTGTCTCTCACCCATCACTCGTGTGTCCAGCTCTTTGTCCATCAGCTCCTCAGGGTCTGTGAACTCACTCAGGGTGATTTTGGGGGCATTTTCACTTTGGCTGACAGAGCCAATCATTTCCTGTTCCTTGTCATGCTGAACTTGGGCATAGATGTTAATCCAAGGGATTTTCCTGCACAGGAAAGGAAAATGAGAAGTTGTGGTTTGTAACACAGGGATCCTCAGCATGTCATTTATTAATGAGACAAACTAAGACCAGACCCCAGAAATGCAACACTGGCAGTGATGCAAAGTATGAGCTCTCAGAAAGGTGAAAGTACCACACAGAGGTTCATCTCTGAAAGTGCCCTTAGCATCCACTAATTCCAATACCAGCCAAAGGTACTCCAAATCTCAGCCATTGTTTTCACATCATGTGCACAAAGTCTCCCTCAGCTGCAAACTTCAATGTTCCGCCCTTTTAAATGAGAAATCATGCACACAGTGGACACTGTGCTCAGCTCAGACAGCAGCAATTAACTAAGTACAATCAGCTGCAGTTGTCAACTCTCTCAGTATTTATTATATGATCAGGGTTGCATTGGAAACCAAAAGTAAAAATCAATTTTGCACTAGTATGAACTGAGCAAAAAAAGTGCTGGGCTTGTTGCTGCTGACAGGCCCACACTGACTCAGAAAAAATTGCCATATCTGAAAGAGTTATAAAGAATTGCTCCTGCCTCAGAGTCAGGAAGGATTTGGACCTCACAACACTCACAACACCCATCCAAAGTCTATTTGTTACCATTCCATTGCAAAAACCAGTTTGTCATGCTATGGATCATGCAAGTTTGTAGGGACTTATTTTTCCTTGCTGCACAGGAAGCCAAGGAAGTGAAGGGATTATTTCTTCCTCCTTCTCCCAAAGTTACCTTGGCCTGCTAGAATGATATCCTTGAGAGTCAGTCAGGTAGACAGATTATACAGGCCTAGACAGACAGGTAGTAATCCCTGGAGGAATGCAAGTTTAAATGAGAGAGCTGAAAAGGAATGTGTTAAGCATCGTGGGGTTTGCCAGGATTATCTGCATTGCCTGGTGGAAGTTGACTGTTTTTCCTAATGCTCTTAGAAAGTCTTCCTGCCACGCAATTCACACTGCTCCAAAAAGGAAAATTTGGAGAATATTTTGAGTTCCTTAAAGCACATAGGAGTAAGAGAGAAAGAAAACATGTTCAAAAGAAGTAATATAAAATTCCATATCTTTATGCTGATCTATCTGCTGTTGGATACGTCAGAGACTAAAAACAGTGGAAATCGCCTCAGCTCTCATTAATTCAATGGATCTATGCTGATTTTACTTCAGTGAAGTTCTGGCCTCAACCAACTTGTGCTATTGGCTTGATTTAGCAATCTGTTCTTAACCAGCATCAAGCCAGGACACATTTGGGATGTTTAGCAGCAGATGATAAATCTCATGATCTTCTCCCTTTCTCCTACCTTCTAATGTTTAAATATGCCGTAAATGCCACCAGAAGACATAGGAACTCCACAGGAAATGAGTGAGAACTAATGCATTCCCATAGGATCCAAGTGCCCAGAACTTGTCTGGAGATGTATAGAGACAGGAGAACATGCCTGTAGATACTGGGAGATTTAGTTCTACTTTCAAACAGTGCAATAGC